TTTTATGTTTTATGTTTTGTGTTCTTTTGGTGACACATTCAATGGGATTTTTATGGGTGCAAATGCAAGAATTTGGTGGTAGAAAATAAATAATGATATAACTTGCACAAACTTTTATTTAGGACTGTGAGAATGCCAAGTAATATTCACACCAGCCAATCAAACCTCTTTTGTCACGGGTTGTAGAGCTTTTGCAGCTCCAGGATGCAAAACCACACAATTCTGTATTGTTTATGAAATCTGGAAAATATTGTGTCTATGGTAACATAATATTCTGGCAACACATATGAACAAGTTTATTCTTTCATTTATTTGTATGCATGTGTTTTCTGTCAGGCCTCAGGAGGGCAGCTCTAAGCCAGCAGGCCAAGGAGTCCTAAGTATGACGAATCTGAGTCATGGGGTCATCAGAGTGGACACGGGAGAGAAGCTGTCCGTCCTCACCCTACAGGATGTGGGCACAGCCATGCCAGGAGGTGCATAGATTATGAAAACATGAACGAATGAACAACCCCAAAGCATTTTGATTTAGGTCCAACATCTACCTCATAAACCAGCCTAGAGCAGTTCTGCACTGTTTTCCTCATGTGACCACAGACCTCATCAAACGACTTTGTTTCTCGTAAAACTGACTTTTCTCCATCTTTCTCAGCAATGGTGTGTGTTGTTAAACTGGAGGGTGTTCCTCAACTGTGTAAAACCGATGAGATTGGAGAGATCTGCGTGTCGTCTGTTGCCACGGGAACGTCATATTATGGGCTTTCAGGAATGAGCAAGAACACATTCGAGGTGTGAAAATACATTATAGACTGTATATACACTGTTTCATTATGTTAAGATTCACTGACGTTCAAAAGTTAGTTTTTTTCATTCATAGCTATTCAACAAGGACATATTAAAGTGATCAAAAGTGACAGTGAAGACTTTTACAGAGTTACTAAAGGATTCTGTTTCAAATAAATGCTTTTTTTTTTTAAGTTTCTATTCCTCAAAGAATCCTGAAAAAAAATGTATTACGGTTACTACATAAATGTTAAGCAGCACAACTGTTTTCAACATTTCTAATAAGAAGAAATGTTTCTTGAGCACCAATTTTCTTGAGCAATTTTAAAATATGTTCAGTGTTCTTCTTTTTAAAATATATTTTACATTTTTAAATCTATTAAAATAGGAAACAGTTTTTTTTTTAAAGTGTAGTAATATTTCCCAACATTACTGTTTTTACTGTATTACACATATTCTAAATACAAAAATATATTTATTTAGATGCAAAAATGTATTTATTTATTTTTACAAATAAGTTTTGTTTTTACAAATGAATTTTGCAGTCTTGGTGAGCAAGACTTTTTCAAAAACATTAAAAAAATCTTACAGACTACTACCCAAACTTTTGAACAACATTGTAAAAGATCTTTATTTTACTGTAGTAAAGTAAAAAAAACACTTTAGCGCATCTGAAGCTGGTTTAACATGGTTTCTACATTTATGCATTTGCTAGACACTTTTATTCCATTGTATTCAAATTTTATTTTAGTTGTTTCTGGTCCAAGCTGGTCATTTATAGTAATTAGCTGGTTCAAGCTTTTTTGATTAAATGTTGGTAAATTTTAAGTAGAAAGTGTGTGTATCCTTCTATTTAGTGTGTGTGTCCTGTCAGTCAGTAAATTAGTTTGTGTCTCTGTGGTGCAGGTGTGTCCAGTGGCATGTGACGGTGGATTTGTCAGCGATTGCGTTTTCGTGAGGTCAGGTCTGCTGGGGTTTGTGGGTCCGGGTGGGATGATCTTCATCTCTGGTACACTTGAAGGACTGATGCAGGTCGGGGGTCGGAAACACAGTGCTGATGACATCATCGCTACCGCTCTTGCTGTTGAGCCCATGAAGTTCATCTATAGAGGAAGGTATGTATGAAAAAAGACCAAAATAATAACCAACCAATACTACAGTATTGCCGCTGTCGCCTATGGCTTGCTTAGTTGGGG